GGAGAGAACAGGGCAGAGGGTGGGGGAGGAGAGAACAGGGCAGAGGGTGGGGAGGGAGAGAACAGGGCAGAGGGTAGGGGAAGACAGCTGGGGAGGGGGCACTTTTCAGTGTTGCCACATTCCAGCACAGAATGGCAAGATGTCTGAGATTTCCTTTTTTTTTTGAGACAGAGTCTCACCCCCTCGTTCAGGCTGGAGTGCAGTGTGCAATCTTGGCTCACTGCGGCCTCCGCCTCCTGGGTTCAATCGATTCTCCTGCCTCAGCCTCCCAGTACCTGGAACTATAGGCAATGTGCCACCACGCCTGGCTAATTTTTGTAGTTTTAGTAGAGGCAGGGTTTCACCATGTTGGCCAGGCTGGTCTCAAACTCTTGACCTCAAGTGGTCTGCCTGCCTTAGCCTCCTAAAGTGCTAGGATTACAGATGTCAGCCATTGCACTGGGCCTGAGATTTCTAAACTTGAACCTGGCTGGCCTTCTAGGTCATTTTAAGGGTATATCTGTCAAGGCAGGAGAATAGAACATATTTAACAGTTCATTAGCTTGATTAATAATGTTGGCATACACAAACATATGGTATTTGGGCTTCCCTCTGCACTCTGGTCCAGCTCCTGCAAACGTCTGTGGTGGGCAGTAGGGGCGGCGTGTGTGGGGAGGTGGGCGGTGCGCAAGGGATGCATTGGTCAGCTTCTGACGGGGAATTTTGCTACAGGGGTGAATGCCTGCAGTCCGCTGGTGACATTCTTTTGCAAACAGGATCAGCATGTTCGTATGTCCAGGAAATAGACTTTCACTTTCACATACCTTTACTCAAAGTAGTAAAAAATAAAATAAAACTGGCCGGGTGCGGTGGCTCACACACCCGTAATTCCAGGATGTTGCGAGTTTGAGGCGGTGGATCACCTGAGATCAGGAGTTCGAGACCAGCCTGGCCAATATGGTGAAGTCCCATCTCTATTAAAAATACAATAGGCCAGGTGTGGTGGCTTATGCCTGTAATCCTAGCACTTTGGGAGGCTGAGGCAGGCAGATCATAGGTCAGGAGATTGAGACTATCCTGGCTAACACGGTGAAACCCCATCTCTACTAAAAATACAAAAAAGTAGCCGGGCATGGTGGCATGTGCCTATAGTCCCAGCTACTTGGGAAGTTGAGGCAGGACAATTGCTTGAACCTGGGAGGTGGAGGTTGCAGTGAGCTGAGATCTGGCACTGTAGCCTGGGTGACAGAGTGAGACTCTGTCTCAAAAAACAAACAAAAAAAAAACAAACAAAAACAACTAGCTGGGCATGGTGGCGAGCGCCTGTAATCCCAGCTGCTTGGGAGGCTGAGGCAGGAGAGTTGCTTGAACCCTGGAGGCGGAGGTTGTAGTGGGCCAAGATCATACCACTGAAAAAAAGAAAGGGAAAAAGAGAAAAAGACTGGTCAAAAAAAAAAAAAAAAAAAAAAAGAAAGAAAACAGAAAAGTAAATTAAAACTGGTGAAAGTCCCTATTCCATACACTTGTCTTGCAGAGAGACCAAGAGACTGAATCAGATGTCAAACTGCTTCCGCGTTGTCCTCAGGGATACATGGGCTGCAATTAGCATCCCCTGCAGTGGGGCTGGTAGCTCTGAGTGGCCTGTCCCTAAAGGAGACATCTGAGGCCATGGCTCCCCAGGGGGCAGAGCTTGATCCCAGAAGGGCAAGTCCCGATGGGCAGGAAGAAGGGCAGCCCCTCCCAGCCTTCCCCAGGCTTGCTGGAGTTTGGACTCACCATCATCCAGTGTCCGCTCCAGGATGGGAGGGTGGCTGGGGCGGCCGTCTCCGATGCGGGTGAAGGCCAGAACCTGGACCTCGTAGAGCACGTATTTGCCTAGGCCGGTGAGCTGGGCACTGCGAGACGAGTTGCCTTCCACCAGCCAGAATCGGGGCTGGGCATCAGAGTCCTTCTCCTTATACATCACCTGTCATGGCCAGCACAGGTGAGGGCCTCGGGCCTGGGTCTCACCCATCAGCACTTTTCCTGAGCCTCGTTCCCGGGGTTGGTGTGGGGGGGTTGGGTAGACTTGGGCTTCTCAGAGTGACTTGGCCCCAAGGGTCGGGGGTAATTGCAAAGCTAGTGTACCCGGAGAGCTGGGGACACAAAGACGGACTCAGTCACAGAGCGAGAAGTTTCCTGAGAGGGCATGGAGGTGGGAAGACAGTCCCAGGCAGGGGGTGTGCCTTCTGCAAGGTCACACAGCTAGCAGTGGCAGAGCTGAGACTTCAACTCATGTCTCCCGACTTCTAGCCCACGGCTGGACCATGTGGCTAGGCACAGCTTTTAAAAGGGATTCTAGAAGATAATGAAAGTCAAAACTGGGCCCATGAGAGCTGAGTGAGGCTGGGGGCATCTGGCATGGCCTCCTGGAAGAGGTGGAGTGGCCCTAGGACCTGGGTGCTCTCTGGGTGCCTCCCCACCCGAGGGATGACTCCTGGTTGCCATGGTGACCACTGGCGAGGACACCAGGTGGGTTCCCTGTATCCACTCTAGGAGGCAGAGACCCAAAGGGTGATAAGGACAAGGCCCCTTGGATGGAGGGGCTGGAGGGGCCAGTGCAGGGACCCCACCTCCTGGGATTCCAGAACTCACCTTGTAGCCCAGCACGAGTCCGTTGCGATCGGCCTCAGGGACGTCGCTCCAGCGCACCAGCATGCTGCTGGAGGTGGTGGCCAGTGCAGACACGTTTGTGGGGCCGGAAGAGGGGACTGTGGGGGGAAGGGAGTGGAGAGAAAGCACTCAGGACCCAATATTGACCGTGTAAGGAACATGGACCAGGACGGGAGGCCGAGGGAGGGGCCAGCTTGATGTGGCCTCTCTATGGAAGAAACATGGCACACATGGACCCCAAACTGCAAACCATCCCACCAAGGTGGCCTTTGGTTTTGGAATGCTGCAGATGCTGCTTCCAATTTCAGATGAGCCTGCCCGCAGGATTCTCTGCTCAGGTTAGGATTAGATGAGCTTGCATTTCCTGCTGGCACAGCAGAGAGGGCTGGGGGAGGGACTAGGGCGACTCAGGAAAGCTGCTCGTGGGTGCCGGGAAAAAGCCACAGAGCAGTGAACTACGTGTGGATGGATAAGGGTTGCCTGAATGTTGGGCTCATATTCTGTGGTCCCCTGAGCAGGCCCGTAGGAGCTTCTGGTAGTGATTCTGGAATGTTCTGAGAGCTAACCCTTTTCCCGATCCCTCCACTGGGATCTTTCAGGCACCACTGGGTGTCAGGGTTAAAGCTGTGAGCAGGGAAGTGGGCAGCATGAATGGTGGAGACTACCCAGCCATCCTGCAGAGGCGGGGTCACTCTGACCTGCCTTGGGAGTATGGGAAGAGCAGGCACAGTGCAGGGAAGTGGCAGGTGCTGGGAGATGCAGCAACATCACTGTGACATCGAGCACAAGCAGAGGAAATAAGCTCAGGCTGTTTTTGAACAACAGCTTCAGCCTGGCAAGCCCTTGGATAGCCCGCAGGGCACAGAGACCAAGGAGGGGGCAGGCTACAGGGCGGCTGGGTACCAGGGCCGGTACCTGACTCCCGGGTCCTGCCCACCACCGTCTGGCTCCAGGGCCCGCTCCCAATGGCGTTGAAGGCCTGGACCTGGACACGGTACTCTGTCCACTCCTCCAGGTCCTCGATGGTGTACTCCCGCTCCACACGATCCTGCACCACGTGGCTCAGTGTCTTGCCGTGCCCGTCTGAACGGCTGTACTTGATCTTGTAGCCCACGGACTCCGGGTTCCCATTGTATTCCATCTCCGGGAGAGGCTGCAGCGGGGCAGGGGCGGCAAAGCTACTGTGAGCCAGGCCCCCCTGTGCAGGGAAGAACTGCCCTGGTACCCCCTCCTCCAGGGAGCCTTCAGGGGTGTCCATCCCATGGTCACCCGGTCAGTGTCCACATGAGGCTCTCTCACCCGAGTGTGGCTTAGGTTGTGTGATTGTGTTTCTGATGGGCTCTTATCTTCCTGCAGGGAGGATGGAGAAGCAGCATCCTTTCTCTACTACGTATGTGACAAATCTATTACCCTGCCAAGGGAGTCAGGAGACCCACAGAGGACGTCTGTCCGACATGCTGATAGCACCGCCACCTCTGGCTCTGCTGTCTCTGCCGCTTACCTCCGTCACTCCTGCTGCCAGCACACACTTAATTGCCTGCCACACCTGGTCTCAGCTCTTGGCTGCCTTTGGAGGAGCGAGTGTGGGCAGAGAGCAGGATGCACGGGGCACCTGCCAGTCAGGAAGTCCTTCTGTCCAGCAAACCTCAGTCTCTCCTGCTGCATTTTCAGCCTCCCTTCTTTTATTTTTGTTTTGAGACAGAGTCTGCTCTGTCTCCCAGGCTGGTGTGCAGTGGTGTCATCTTAGCTCACTGCAACCTCCGCCTCCCAGGTTCAAGTGATTTTCCTGCCTCAGCCTCCTGAGTAGCTGGGATTACAGGTACACATCACCACGCCCAGCTAATTTTTGTATTTTTAGTAGAGACATGGTTTCACCATGTTGGTAAGGATGGTCTTGATCTCTTGACCTCGTGATCCAACTGTCTCGGCCTCCCAAAGTGCTGGGATTACAGGTGTGAGCCACCGCGCTCAGCCTATTTACTGACTCTGTCTCCCAGGCTGGAGTGCCATGGTGCCATCTGAGCTCACCACAACCTCTTGGGCTCAAGCGATCCCCTTGTCTCAGCCTCCTGAGTAGCTGAGACTATAGGCATGTGCCACCATGCCTGCTAAGTTTTGGAGATACGAGGTTTCACCGTGTTGCCTAGGTTGGTCTTAAACTCCTGAATTCAAGCCATCTGCTCACCTCGGCCTCCCAAACTGCTAGGATTACAAGCCACCGTACCTAACCAGCCTCTTCCTCTTGTTTGAGTCTCAAAGAAAGGAAAAGTCAGATTTCTTTGCTGGACCTTCGGACTAGGCTGGTGGGGCTGTGGTCTCTGGCTCAAGGTTGGGTGGGTGAAATGGACAGTGCTGGTGAGAGTGGGGGTGTGAGCATGGGGAGGGGAGCCCAGGGCCTGGTCTCCACTCCTCTGAAGGGCACAGAGCTGAAGTGGGGGCGTCTCCATCCCTCACCTGCCCTGATTCTGCTTCTCCTGGGGCTCTGGAGGACCTGCAGTCCACAGGCTCACACAGGCTGACCCGCTTTATTCCGCTCCTCACCTTCGGCCCTGACCTCCCCTGCTCATCCCACACATCCTCCCTCCTGCAGACATTTAGTGAAGCCGACCAGAGACCATTAAGATAGCAATCAATGGGCTTGAGAGCTGGAGATGGGGCTCAAGTGCATGTTCCCTTACCTGCTAAGGAAAGGTAATGGACCACGCACCATTAAGCGTGGGCTGAGAGGTGTTCGGGGCCCTCCACTGCGTGGCAACTTCCTTTCTATTCCCCCATGCAGCCCCTGCCCTCAGCCTCAGACTCTAACCTTTTAGTAGCTGCAAACCTTAAAGCAAGATTCAGGAAGGAAGCAGGGAACCAGCCTGGGTGGGGATGCCCGGGAGCGAAGGGGCAGGAGGGGGGCATGCCACACTGTGCATGGGGCACTGAGCTGGGCCGAGGCAGCTCTGCAGCTCTGCTCAGGTGCCAGCCACCCTGGGAAGGGAACTGCAATTAGTAACTCATATTTATCGAGGACGGATGGTGCCACGTGCTTTCACCGCCGTTAGCATCAAGCTGTCTGCACGAGGGAACAGCAGTAATGACTTCACGGTGAGGTGTGTTTGCACGTTGTGTTTTGCGCAATGAGTAGGATCTTACATGGAAAGAAAGGGGTTCCATAGGGTCAAGAGGGCTCTTGCTACGCTAGTGTTCCTGGCTTCTCTGTGGAGCTATGGTATGCGGTCATTTATTTGTCCAAGAATTTCTTGTTTGCTCCAAGCGCCTCCTGGGATGGCTGCTCTGTGGGACCCGTGCTGGGAAAGGATGTTGCAGAGGGCCTGGGGGAGAAATGGCCTCTGCTGTTCTCTGGTGGATGAGACAGCAGTGTGCCCAATGGTTAGGGCTGTGGACTTGCCGGTACAGACTCCCTGCGTCAGGACCTCAGCCCCGCGGTTCACGAAAGCACGTGGGAGGATGTGCGAGGCCTTGGGCAAATTATCTGACCTCCCTTCTGCCCCAGTTTCCTCATCTGCAAAATGGGGACCAGGGGCCGGGAGCGGTGGCTCACGTCTATAATCCCAGCACTTTGGGAGGCCGAGGCAGGTGGATCACCTGAGGTCAGGAGTTCGAGACCAGCCTGGCCAACATGGTGAAACTCCGTTTCTAATAAAAATATAAAAAATTAGCTGGGCGTGATGGTGCACCTCTAGTAACTCCAGCTACTCAGGAGGCTGAGGCAGGAAAATTCTTGAACCCAGGCAGCGGAGGTTGTGGTGAGCTGAGATCACACCATTGCACTCCAGCTTGGGCAACAAGAACAAAACTCCATGTCAAAAAACAAACAAACAAAAAAACAGGACCAGGATCACTGTGCTGTCACAGGCTTGTTGTCAGGACAGCACCTGGGAGGAGAGGAAGCCTTGGTGTGTTAGAATTACCACCTCATGCAGGATGGCCCAGGGTCATGACCCTCAACCCACAGCCCTAATCTGGGGCACACTCTCTGAATGCCACAGTGGCACCTGAATCCCAAACCCGCCAACTGGGAGCTGTGTGGCCAGGGGCAAGTTCTTAACCTCCCTGAGCCTCAGTTTTCTTAGCTGTAAATTGGGATAATCATGTGTCCTTTGTAAGATTCCTGGGAGAATCAAATGGGATAAAAAATGTAAAATGCTTGGCACTTGGCAATGCTCAGTATACAGTATTTTTTGGCTTCTTCCTCTCATGGGGGGCGTTTGTTCATTTGGCTAAGATGTTGATGATCAGGCAACTAACCAGGTAAGTAGAGAAAAGAGAAAGGAGCTGTAGGAACTCTGAGGATCACCTTCTGGGAGGCACTGACTGGAGCTCATGGAGAGGTCCCACCCTGCCCTCGAAGGAGCCTCACCATCCAGCGCAGCCACAGGCTGGTCTCACTGGCTGTGCGCAGAGACACATTGGCTGGGGCCATGTCAGGGGGTGCCTGCAGAGTCTGGATCTTTCTAGAAGGCTGACTGGGGGGGCTGGTGCCCACAATATTCACCTGGCGCATACGGAAGCTGGGGTGGGAGAGAGATGAGGAAGATGGTAAGGGCAGGACCCCAGCTCCCAACCCTGTCCCAGTCTGGGCTGCGGCCCCCTCCCACCCCCAGCCGTGGGGCCGCTGTCCCCTCCCTGGCCCAGTCTTGTTACCTGTAGTAGGTGAAGGGATTGAGGTCAGGCACCTCCATGGATCGGGCGTCAGGCTCGTTGGAGAGCTGGTGGATCAGCAGCCACTCCTCTCCCTCCCCGACCACACCTACCTGGAAAAGGGCAGGACCTTAGGCCCACAGAGCGCTCTGAGCCCAGCTCCTAGGAGGTATAACCCCTGCCAGGGAAGGACTTGGTTCAGATCCCAGGGCTCATGGAGGGCACCAAATGGGGCTACCATCTTTGCAGGCCCCTACACATGGCTGCAAGTGTGACTCAGCCTTCCTGCCCTAGCGTCTCTCAGGATGCTTGTGATCGACATATTCCCAGGCCCGTCGGAATCCGTGGGACACTGCCCAGGAATCTGTGCTTTTAACAATCAGCCCAGGTTTCTCCTAAATACCCGGGGTACTTCCAGAGACCCAGGCTGCCCCTCAAACCAGCTATATCAGAATCAGAGTTTCTTGGGTGGGATGTAGGTGTTGTACTTCTGAATGCTCCCCTGATGATTCCAGGGTGCAGCCAAGGCCGATTATATATATACATAATTTTATTTATTTATTTATGAGACTAAGTCTTGCTCTGCTGCCCAGGCTGGAGTGTAGTGGCATGATCTCGGCTCACCGCAACCTCTGCCTCCCAGGTTCAAGTGATTCTCCTGCCTCACCCTCTTGCGTAGCTGGGATTACAGGCAAGCACCACCACACCCGGCTAATTTTTGTATTATTAGTAGAAACGGGGTTTCAACATGTTGGTCAGGCTGGTCTCAAACTCCTGACCTTGTGATCTGTCCACCTTGGCCTCCCAAAGTGCTGGGATTACAGGCATGAGCCACCGTACCTGGCCCTTGATGTTTTTATATTCCAGAAACTAGGTGTTTTTCTAGGTCCCCCAGACCCAGGAGGGGACTGTAGTGTGTGTGTGTTTTCCATGTACACAGGTGGGGAGGGCAGTGGATTGGAGAAAATACTGGGAAGTGTGAGCATTTGGGGATATAATGGGCCATTGATAGTTGTACATGAAAATTCACACAGACTGGAATACACATAAGATGCTGCACTCAAGAGCACGGAGTGCTCTGGCTGGGGGCTGCTACCCAGGCCTCAGTGCCGCCCTACCTGGGCTTCCACCAGCCAGCGGGAGATGGAGGTTTTCCCATCGTAGCCTGGCCTGAACTGCAAGGTCACGGATCGGGGACCGATGTTGGAGATGCCCAGGTTGGTGGGGGGCCCTGGCAGTTCTGGAAAAGGAGAACAGGGTGAGGAAGAAGATCCAGTGAGAATGGCCCTCCATGTTGAACGGGACTTTGGGGCATGGAGGGGGCTGTGTGTCACACTTTTCCTGGAAATGTCCGAGGAGAAGCACAGCCACGGCCTCACTCCACCCGCAGTCTTTGTTCCTGTGTCTTACGGAGGACCGTGTTCCTGCCAGGAGGTGTTGATATTTACTCGGTGTGGCTGGCAAAATATTAAAGATATATTGGGAAAAGTCATAGATTAGTCTCAAACCTTTTGGGAGGTGGAAGGGTTTTACTGGGGCAAGCTGAATGCAGCCGGCGGTCCATTTGGGAAGATAGGGGAGAGGCTTTTCCTGTTTAAGTCTGTTTACCCCACATCCCTTTGTCTCTACTCTATTTAGTCATGTAAACTTTGTGCTGGATGGTCCTCTCAGGGGGAGATCAAAGGGGAATTACCTGTTAATAGTGTTTACCCTGGGCCTGGAACCTAAAGCTTTTATCATTGTATAACCAGTCTCTTAACCATGTTAATTATCCACAGTATGCTACCTCAGAACCTCTTAGGAATCAAAGCAGACAGAGGGTCTGGGTCAATTGGCTGCATTTTGCCCTCTGCAAGCAGCCAGCAGCCATCCCTAGCCCGCTTGTATCACCGTGGTGGTGAGCAACGTCTCAGGTGGTGACCCCAATGTGACCAAGGTCACAAGGAGGCTGAGACAGATTTGGGGGCCAAGGGGGATCTCTCAGGGCCGAGAGGAGGCTCTTGGGGCCAGGAAACAGGGGTCAGGATGGCTCCTTCTTCCTGGCAGTTCTGGATGTGAGTGAGGTGCTCAGAACGAAGCTGAAAGCTGCATTAAAACCAAGCTGGGCTGAGAAAGAAACCAAACGGGACCAATCCTCCCCTCCATCCGCACAGACCCCTGCACACCTCCTATACCTAATGACAGCTCAGGAAGGCGGGAAGATTGGGTAGGGACAGGAGGAAGCTTATTTTCTGGCCAGGAACCCTGAGGCTCTAAGAGCTCAGGAAGAACAGAAAGAACAGATATTCTGGAGTCAGAATGAGTTTAAATCTAACTCCACTACTCATATATAAGCTGTGTGTCTTTGTACAAGTTATCCACCTCTCTGTGCTTCCATGTTCTCCTTGGTAATGAAGATTATAATAACACCTCCCTCAGGGTTGCTGTGTGTATAAAATGAGTTGATGTGTACAAAACTCCTAGCTCCATCCCCTGTGAGCACTACATACATATTTGCCAGCATAGCTGTCTGTAATCATCACTGGGGGTTGGCCAAGGCTCAGGTGGCCCAGCCATCTAAGCAGCAGGTGGAGGGATGTTGGCAGGTCACACAAGCACTGCCTGACTGATCTGGATGGGACCACATGGCTATCTGGTCCAACTTTCCATATATACAGATGGGGAAACTGAGGCACAGAGGGGACACGTAACTTGCTCAAGGTTGCAGAGCTTGGCAGAAGCAGAGCTGAGAGTGGACCTTGGCTTGCTCTCTGCACCAGGCTTAGGAGTATTCCCACTGTGCTCTGCCACCTCCCAACCAGCCCTTCCACATGCTGGAATCCAAGGTGGACTCTGGGTGACAGTGGGAATTCTTCCCCTGAATCACAGATACCATTGCCTGGTGTGGAATCTGGTGAGAAATGGGTGACAGAAGAGACTGGTGGGGAAATGAAACAAGGTAGGGGGCCTCTGCTTTTCTGAGAGCTGTGGGAGGAAGCAGCAGGGGCCCAGGGGAACCGCAGTCCAGAGGCCTGGGATCCCCAGAATCTGGCCTGCTCTCAGAGGATCCAGACCCACACAGCACAAGGAAAGGGGAGAGCCTGTGGAAAGAATGCTGGTATTCCTGAAAGACACGGGGCCCTTTTTTTTTTTTTTTTTTTAAAGACAGAATCTGGTTTTGTCAGCCAGGCTGGAGTGCAGTGGTGTGATCTCGGCTCACTGCAACCTCCACCTCCCGGGTTCAAGTGATCCTCCAGCCTCAGCCTCCCAAGTAGCTGGGATTACAAGCATGCACCACCATACTCAGCTAATTTTTGTATTTTCAGTAGAGACGGGGTTTCACCATGTTGGCCAGGCTGGTCTGGAACTCCTGACCTCAAGTGATCTGCCTGCCTTGGCTTCCCAAGGTGCTGGGATTGCAGGCGTGAGCCACCACGCCTGGCTGACAAGGGACCTCTTGAATAGGATGCTGCTCAGGAAAACTCCACGAGTCCTGCCCCAAGAGTGGGCACTTACCTGGGGGCACCCCAGAGGAGATGGTGGAGGCTGACACCTGGCCCTGCCCCTTTGAGGTCATGGCGGCCACCTCGATGGTGTAGGTGGTGAGTGCGGTGAGGCCCGTGACGCGGTACTCCAGGGTCACGTTGGGCAGGTAGTGGGTCACACGGGTGTTGGTTCGGTTATACTCCTCCCAGGAGATCCGGTACCCTGGGGAGAGCCCTCGTGTTGGCATGAGCTTGGCTGTGGCCACGAGCTGGCCTGACCCTCAACTCCACTTCTCACTTCTCTACTAGGCTGGCAGTTAGATCCACACTGGGAGCAATGGGGCCACGGGAGGTGGGAGCTGCTGGGGTCCTGCCCTGGGTCTCAGGTGTAGCCTCAGTGGGATGCCACCACTTCAGGGAATTGCAGGGGACACACAGGGAGTCATCACGGCAGTCACTGAGATCTGTGGCTGAAGGCGTGGGGCTGGAGACTCTGGGATGTGTAATGAAGTGGAGGTACCGAGGGCCTCCTGTGAGCAGTCTCTGGGAAACAGTGGGTTGGCTTCAAGGGTTTGGGTGAAAAGTAGCAGGACGGCAGGGGATGGACCAGCTCTGGCCTCTCCCGGCCCAGTCCTGCCCTCCGATTCAGAAACGCTGTGATGCCTACCTGTGAGGATGCCGTTTTTCTCTCCCGGCTCTTGCCAGCTGACCTTCAGCGACGTGTCCAGGATATCACTGAAGCTCAGGTGTCCTACAGGGCCAGGCACTGCACCCCAAAAGGACCCCCACCCCACAAGGCCAGTTAGAGCCAGAGAGAGGCCACCATCTGTGAGACAGGCTGTGGTGATCTGGGAGACAAGACTGGGCTGCCCTTCTTTCTGGGGTGCCCAGCCTGGCCTTGGGTGGGGCAGAGTGTGCAGGGCTGGGGGGTGCCTACCATCCTCATGGGTGCGCACCAGCTGCGGGGTGCTGCGTGGCCCATCTCCAGGGGTGGTGAAACACAGCACCGAGGTGAAGTACTCGGTGAACTTCTTCAAGCCAGACACAAAGCCCACGTGGATGCTGTCTTGAAAGTTAGGCCGGGCGGTCACCATGGTAACCTCCTCTTCCTGCTCCGGCTCCCAGGCGATCAGCTGCGGAGAGGCCAGCAAGTCAGACAGGGCTTCAGGAAAGCTCCAAAGGAGGCCGAGCTCTCTCCCACAGGCTGCTCAGAGGGAAGGGACAGGCAGTGCAGGGAACCGCGTGACATCAGGGTTCACTTTGGGGCACTTCTCCACTTCTTGAGCCACTGACTTCATGCAAAGCACCATGCTGGGTGCTTCCCAGGAGCCGCCTGTCACTTGATTCTCACAGAGACCCAGGAGGCAGGCATTTCACCAGGAACAGCTGCATAATTTGTAGGCTCAGTGCAAAATGAAAATGTTGCCCCTTGTTCAAAAATGACTAAGAATTTTAAGATGACAGCAGCAAAGCATTTAACTAACTGTGGGGTCCTTCTAAACGTGGGCCCTGTGCGACTGCACAGGTGGCATACTCATGAAGCTGGCCCTGTGTTCGTTTGAGATGGGGTCTCACTATGCTGTCCAGGCTGGAGTACAGAGATATGAGCACAGCTCACTGCAGCCTCGACCTCCCAAAGTGCTGGGATTACACGTGTAAGCCACTGTGCCCAGCCCAGCCCTGCATTTTATTTTATTATTTTTTTCTGAGACAGAGTCTCACTTTGTTGCCCAGGCTGGAATACAGTGGGACTAGGCTCACTGCAACCTCTGTTCAAGCAATTCTCTGTCTCAGCCTCTGGAGTAGATGGGATTACAGACGTGCATCACCACGCCAGGCTAATTTTTGCCTTTTTAGTAGAGATGGGGTTTCACCATGTCGGCAAGGCTGGTCTCAAGTGATCTGCCCGCCTCGGCCTCCCAAAGTGCTGGGAGTACAGGTGTGAGCCACTGTGCCCAGCCCAACCCTGTATTTTACAGATGATGAAACAGAGGCTCACACAGGTAGGGGGAAGCTGGTTCTGGGATTCCAAGCCCTGAGCTCCTACATCTTGCCCCATGTGAGCTGGGGCACCTTCCTTATTGGAGTTCTCCAAGGGTTGCTTCCTGCAGAGCTGGGAAGTTCAGTTTGTGGGTAATTATTGTCCTCTTACACTCCAAGTTGGGATTTCCATCTTAAATATCAAGTAGCCGGGGGTGGGGGGGCATCGGCAAGAAAGTCCTATCTGAAAATCCCTCAAGTTCTCGCTAATCCCCACTCTGCAGATTGCACCCGGCCCCCGCCCCTCCCGCCTGCTCTCACCTCACGCTTCTGTTTCTGGGCCCTTCATCTGTCTCCAATAATGACAGCTGGTTTCAGAGATTTCCTCATTTATTTGAAGTTGATTAAATAGCAATTAATGGGGAAAGGCAACACTTGATGAGTTTTAATAAGCACGGGTATTTATAGATATAAAACAATGCCACGCCAATGTCTCCCGATTAACTCACGCCTATAACAATGCTTAATCTTCTCCTTTTCATGGCCGTGTATTTATAAAGGATGTTTTGAAATTTAATTGGTATTGTGAAAAGATAGCCTATAGCAAGTTAATTAGACACTAATTAGACCCTCAAAATACTAAACAGAAATACTAAGTGGCATTTAATAAGTATGTTAAATATCCTCCGTATTTCGATTATCTTGTTTCATAGCAATTATGTTGCTGAACTTCTTTGGAGTAGATTAAGAAACAAGTTTAATGTTTTAATTTAATTTAATTAATGTAAATTCAAATTAATTATGCTGTTAGAATTAATTGTGTGGTGTGTTCCCCAGCAAGTATAAGATCTGGGTAAATATTTTACGTATTGGGCTTAGGCCAATTATAATCCCTACCATTTAAAAAAACATAAAGGAAAAAGGGTGCCTTTACAGGTGCCTTAAAACAGTATCACCGGGCCTTACCCACAAAAATGACCCAGAGGACGTGCACAAATGCACAGGGTAATGGAAGCGCGGTTTGTGGAGTCACGCTGTTGACTTCAGCATCCTATAGCTTGACGCCTGAATTCAAGATGGCAGCAGGGCCACGGCTTCCTGTGGCTGTTTCAAAATATTTACCCTGGGATGTGAGCCACTTTTAATTCTCCTGCTGCATGTGAAGCGGAGGCCGCTTAGGGATAGGAGGCCTCCCTGCCTCAGGTCCAGCGAGAGAGTAAAAGTGCTTTTGCATTCTTCATTGCCCTAACGGGGTTGGGCTCTGCACAGTTGTGGGATGTAACTTTAGTGCTCAGCTCAACACACAAAAGGGCTTCCACCTGCTGCACTCTTCCCATGCGCCTGGCCTTATTTAATCCTCACAGTGAGGAGTAGATGGAAATCACTGTCCTATGCTCTTGCAGAAAAGAACACTGAGGTTCAGGAAGGTGAAGGAGCTTGCACATGGACCTACTGGGAGCTGGCTCAATCTGTGGACCATAAGTCCTTTCATGATGATCTCTGATTCTCAAAGGTATACACAGCTGCTGAGGTGAGTGCTTCTCTATGACGTCTCTGGGCCTTCTCCTTGTGAGTCAGCTTCAGTGTTGATTTACCCTACTAGGTCCTTAGTCTCAGATTCTAAGCAGACGGGGCTCCCCTGAGCAGGCTCGGGTGTGTTCTGGGGAGTGAGCATTGGACCTGGGTTCCTGGGACATGCAATTCCCCCTTAGAGCGCAGACGCCCAGGGAGTCAAGCCCTGTAACTGAACAGCAGTGCTGCTAACAGAGGGTGTTGGGGGAGGGCACAGTCTTGCAGCTGGCACACTCGAACCTGAACCCAGCTCTGTCACTTACTGTGTGACTCAGGGAAAGTCACTTGAGCACTCTGAGCTTCAGGCTATTGTAGGGGATAGAAACAGCTGGCTTGCTGGGTTGCAGGGAGGAGCAGGTGAAATGTCTCCTGTCCCTGGTGGAGGCAGTACTCTATAGGGTTGAGAGTGTAGGATGGTGTATATGGCATCTAGCTACTAAAGTTAAAAAATAAGTCAGGCTGGGTGTGGTGGCTCACATCTTCAATCCCAGCACTTTGGGAGGCCAAGGTGGGTGGATCACCTGAGGTCCGGAGTTCGAGACCAGCCTGGTCAACATGGTGAAACCCCATCTCTACTCATAATACAAAAATTAGCCGGGTGTGGTGGCACGTGCCTGTAATCCCAGCTACTTGGGAGGCTGAGGCAGGAGAATTGCTTGAACCCAGGAGGTGGAGGCTGCAGTGAGGCAAGATGGCGTCACTGCATTCTAGCCTGGGCGACAGAGTGAGACTCTGTCTCAAAAAAATAAAGTCAGAGAAATGCTCTCTGTCTCTGTCCCTCTATCTCTTTCCACATACACAGGTTCCCAGAAAACAACTTGAAAGGAAATGTGAGAAACCAACAACAGTGGTCGCTTACAGTGAGGAGCTTTTGGGTTGGGCAGAGTAGATCTAGGCAGGTGGGAGACCGTGGTGGGATGGGGCTCTCTGCTATATGTTTACCATTTTTGACTTTTGTTTTTGATTTTTTGAATCATATATTTTCTGTTTAAAAATTAAAAGATTGAAAAATAAGTTGAATGAGGGGTATTTGGCAATAGTAGCAAAATTACTCACACATTTTCCCTTTGACTCAACAATCTCATTTCCAGGAATCTAGTCCAAAGTTATATTGTGAAAATAAAAAAAAGGGGCTGTGTGCAGTGGCTCACCCCTGTAATCCCAGCACTGCGGGGGGCCGAGGTGGGTGGATCACCTGAGGTCAGGAGTTTGAGACCAGCCTGGCCAACATGGTGAAACCCCGTCTCTACCAAAAATACAAAAGGTTAGCCAGGCGTGGTGGTGGGTGCCTGTAATCCAAGCTATTGGGAGGCTGAGGCAGGAGAATCACTTGAACCTGGGAGGCAGAGGTTGCAGTGAGCCAAGATCATGCCATTGCACTCCAGCCTGGGTGACAAGAGCGAAACTCCATC